CTGAAGTTGCAACAGAACGGGAGGAAAACATTAGGCATTAGCGGAGGCGTGGTGGAAGAACCCATTGTGTTGGGACCCCGAGGCAAGGCTACGCATGCGTATCGCCGCTGCCACGCCCATCGCACGTCACAACAGGACACTCACTCCTGGCCCTGGCCAACTTGAATTATGAAATGTGAAAATTGTGTTAAATAAGTAAACAGAGGATGCGTTTGTGCAACATTGCGAAGCACACACACATACACTCATATGGAATCACCGCAATCTTTGCCATTTTCCCATTTTCCCCAGCTTCTCCCCACATTTTGGTGGAAAATAGACACTCCCGAGTCACGTAGCCACGAACTGACTTTCATATTTCATGGCAACCCAGCCGCCCGCCCAGCCGAGCTGAGAGAGAGAAAAAAAAACCATTTAGGCAAACGGCGAACACCCACATCCCGGCTCCAGATCCTTTGGGTACTCCATCTCCAACCCCTTGGCCACCATGCAGCAGTTGCAATATTTGATCTAAAATATGTATGCCCGGGCGGAAATTGTTTTCGTGTTAAATGGCGGAAGCAGCGACGGCATTGTAATTAAAATTTGCTTAAAACTTAATGGCAAGTATTTAATATACAATTGGAATTTCACCCTGGACGGCTGGTGAATTGAAAGAGCGCAGCTCCACTTCTCAGGAATGTGCCCAAGGTTGTGGACCAGCTGATGGATGCTGGATGGTAAATACACTAAAAAAAAAGTGGAAAAATTGAAATGAGAGCCATACAAAATTCTATATTCTGTAAAACCAAAAAAACACTTAAAACATGTGTATTCTGGGTATATTTAATCGGAATTTTTAAATGCAAAAATGTTCGTGCTCGTCCAAGTTTTTTAAATATGATAACTAAGCCAAAATTGCTGTAATTTCACTTCGGAAAGCATTTGTGTGCTAGTTTTTAAAGGGTAAACAAATATGCATAAATACTTTTTAAAAATTAAAAAATTTAAATTTTTGTCAAAGTTTTACAATTTTATCTTTAATTTATTTTATTTAACATTTTTGTTTATGGGTAAAATTTCGAAAAAATCGTTTTCGACCGGATCGATTTATAGGGTCGTAAACTGTTTTTTCATTACTTTGCAAACTTTAGACTGAAATTATAATACCCTGGAAGGTTATAAACTGTAGCAAAAGTTTGCACCAAATTCAGTTTTGAAACTATCGCAAGGTTAGGAAATCAATATTAAATTGCAAGTAAATATCATTACTACAAAATTGCTGACTCATATTACATTAAAATTAAGAAGTGGGGTTTATGGCAATACTTAATTGAAAAATAAATGTATATCTACCACATCTGCTTCAATACCTAGGTCTGACGCCTCGTATATAATGTACATACATATGTACATATATGCATCATATAATTGTCATTGTTTTGACTTACCGCAGTAGAGGACACGTCATTGCTCAACTTCTTCCTTTAGAGTGACTTCAATTATATTGTATTGCATTGCTCAGATGATATTTTTTGGTCGAATCAATCATCAATCACTATCACTAATCTTTCACTATAGATCCAAACACTTGGACGGCCACGGACTGAATGAGGCCAGAGCGACAGCAATGCCTCTATTTATAGTCGTCGAGCAAAGAGAACAGAGAAAGTGAGAGCAATAGAGAAAGAGCTAGGCAGAGAAAGTTAGAGAGAAAGAGTTAGCTCTAGAGATACACCAAGGAGAGAGTGACAGAGAGAGGTAGAAATAGAGAGAGAGCTATTTCCTGCCATTATAATATTTAATTATTGTAAAGAGCGGAACATACTTTCACGATCGTTTCTATGGCAGCTATATGACATAGACGTCCGATTTTAATAAAATTATTATCAAAATTATAAAATAATAAAAAATGGCTTTATCTTAAATAAGAAAAATGTTGAAAACTAGAAAAGTTATGATTTGTTTTCTAACAATTTTCCGATCTGTTTCTGCAGCAGCTTTATGATATGGCCGTTCAAACCAGCCCAGCCAGCATACAAGTTTCATTCATATATTTAAAAAGGCTCCATAATCACCCTAATTATTTCATTTTTAATAATCATATTTAAGCAATACCTATTTATACTTGATTTAATTTTTAGATCAATCCATAAGTTATTTAGAGATACTTTTTCGAAGTGTACCAGTCGTAATTAAAGTTGAGGTGCTTTTTGCTTGGGTTGAACCCCCAATAAAGGAGCCACCGATTGCGGATAATTATATATTTCATTACCTTTGATCTGGGGAGAGAGTAGCGCAACTTTCAATGCATATCCTGGCACGTACACACACACACACATTTGCCACCGCCTAAAAGTATGCCGTGAATGTTCCGGGCGACTCCAGTTGCATGCAAAAATATTCTCCCCAATGGCTTTTTTCACCTCCCTCAACCCTTGCTGCATTTGCTCTTCGGTCTCCGGACTCCTGGACTCCGGATCCCGGGAAACCCGCTTTGCATGCGTATGTGCATGCCTCAAATAGTTGCCACACATTAAATTTCCGGACTGGCGTCCGTTCTTTAAATGCAGAAGGAAATGCAATAAACGCCAACCTAAAAGCCACGCCAAAAAATTACAAAAATTACAGCCAAGGCCCTGGGGCTCTCTCGGTTTGGGTAGGGTGAAAAATTCCAATGGCAAAGCAGAATCCCGAAAATGAAATGACGCTAAAAGTATCGCAATAAAAATGCATTAAAATGCCTCACCAGGGAGTAAATAATTTTGTATCTCCAAACGCAGACGTCGACGATTTGTAGTTATGTGCAGAGAGAAAAATATATAAATAAATGTATTAAAAGTTATAGAAACAATTAGAAAATATTAGGAGTAACCCAGAAATAAAAATGGGTTTAAAATCACTTTAAAAGGGTGTTTAAAAATAAATTGAATTCTCTAGCAAGGAAGGAAATATCTCTCTTATTATGAAATAATTATTTTTAAGCTTAAATAAAATAATTAAACATGCTATAAGTATGTCAAAAATATTATATAATTCTTTTAATTTAATTTATTTAATAGCTCATACCTTAAAGTTCATTAGATTTAGCCTTAAAGTTAATCCTCGAGTACATAGCCTTCTTTCTCACTGTGCATTTATCGTATTCGATTATATTGAAATACACTCGATGCCTGAACAATTAGGCGCCGATTCGTAGGGTCTATAGTCTGTGTAGTCTGCGAATAATATTTTTATGGCCAGTGGCGCGCATAAATCCCGGACAGTCGGCGTTTAATTCAAAATGGACAGAGGAGGATGAACGTGCGACTCCAGCTTAGCAGCGCAACTCCCTGCAGGATAACGACGACTGGCTCCATAATTTATCGGTCCGCTTGATTTGAGTGCATAAATTCCCTGGCAAACGCCTTTGGAGCCCGAATCCTGTATCCACTCTTCTCACAAGCTGCTCAATGAGCCGAAGATGCAGAACATTTTGTAAGACGATGCGCTTTTAATGTGTTTATTGACTTTATCAGGAAAATGTAGGGTTTGGCCATAGGGTGGGGCCTTAGGTGGGGAGCTAAGGGATTAGGCCAATCAATCAAATACTATCGAGTTAATTAAAGCAGATGGTGCTCAAGGAGCCCGACGACTATTTGGGTCAACGGCTGGCACACTGCACATCGCATTGTGCATATTTATTGGTGGAAAAATTCAAATAAATCCGGAATATTTTCGAGTGGCAAGGAGAAGTGTACAGTGTGTTTGTCAATTATAAGTATAAATACATATGTGCATTGTGTTCGCCCTCCTCCCAGGACTGTAATTGCATATGGAACATGAAATTTCACTTAGATTCCCATGCAACTAATCTGATTCTCCGGAAGGTGTGTATAGCAAGAGTGTGTGTGCACAGTATATTTGATAGTTATTTTGTGAATTGTTCTCGAAGGACGCAGCAGTCCATTGAAAAGAGCTGTTCGACTCGGACAACTACTGTGCACAAAAAAATGTTATACTTCTACTCAATTGGAATATGTGCATTAAAAATGCAGCAAATCCTTAATTAAATTCCCCAACTCGATGAGTGGCAAACACTCGCACAGACGGAACCATCCATCCGGCCACAGAAAGTTCAATTACAAATTACTTTAAATGCAAACAAAGGCAAGTGAATAAGCAAATAATATTAAGTGAATGATGAAAGATTATTCAAATATTGCCTGGTGGATTTTATATATACAAATGTATATATGTATGTACAAGAAGGAAGACAATGGCTCTTGTATGTGCTGAGAGGAAAGTTATAAATTATATATGGATGTTCGTCTTTAGAGTAGGTTGCCTAAATATAAGTTTAAATCTAAACTTGAACTCAATAGAGATATTCAAGGTTGCTAGAAATATGAAGTAATATTTGGTAAAAAAAATATATGTACACCTTTTAAAAGCATTGCCTGTGTATTAGTTGTAAGTCCTTAAAAGCGGATCTTCTCAAGGTTTATAAATCTTTCTAATATTTATAAATAAATATTAAATAAAATATAACTGTACACATATTATTTTGAAAATGAGGATCTTTTTGAATTCCAGCCTGATTAAAAAATATTTATGTGTATGAAGAAAAAATAGATCAAAAATATTCTTTATGAAATGTTGTTTACATTATTCCCATTTTCAATCGGCGCTGCCACTTAATGCATACAAAGTAAGCTTGGCTGCGCTTCACCCTTAACCAAATTCAATATTGCGTGTTCACACTTCCTGCCATTTTATAAAATGGTTGCACGAAGTTCCACCTCTAGCACGAACTGCGGGGAATTAAATTTATATTGAGCTTTCTGTTCCCACACATCTCAATTAATAACAGGAATAACACACTTAATTTTATGAATTTTTAAAATATAACATAAAAGTCCTCCAAGTGACTTTGTTAGAACGCATCTGAAACTTTGTAACAAAAATTCCTAACACAAGAACACAGCAACTTATAATTTTTGTAAATTTGTTAATATTCGTCATTTAAAGCCGATCGTTTGTATTTTTCTAAAGCATTTTATACCTAACAAAATTAAACTAAGGCAAGTGCCACACTGAAGGTGCTGAAAGAAGCTTCTGGTATATTTTCGCCCTTTCCAGCACTGCCAGTCAATATTTTGCGGCAATGACATTTCCGTTTTAGTTCTGGATTCTGAAAAAGAAATTCTCAGAAATTAGTTTAAGCATCTGATGTTCCGCTTGTTCAAACTCTACTCGCTCTACATGGATAACAAGGGTCATTCGACTTCGCAAAAGTCTTGCATATGCGAGAAGTTGCCACGCGCAACGCTCCATGTGCCGGTGAATCGCTTCAATGTCTGCGATCTATGTGGCCTGATCCGCCGTCCTCGAACGTACTCCAGCGACGAGGAGGAGAAATTGGATGTCGAACGGCAGAAAATATTGTTGCAACGCCGCCACGCCGAGGAGGCTGCCCACAATAACAAGGCGGCGCGCTTCAAAGTGACCGGTAAGGGCAAGAAACCGCCGGTCAAGTCCAATAATAAGCGTACCAAGAGCGACGAATGGTCGAGGACTGAAGGAGGCGGACTTGGAGAAGCCGGAGATGGCGAAGGCGATGGTCCTAAAGAGGCCAGTAAGATGGATCGCCACCAGGAGGAGCCGTCGGCACCACCACCATCGTCGCCATCGCCCGCTCCGTCGGATCGCCATGCGAGGATATGTCCTTAAACTACACGCGCAGGCGCTTGATCTATGACGACCAGTTTGTGAAGAAATTTATTCCACTGAAGGGGCCCATAACGGATCCATCTGGAGGTGCCATATCCAAGAGAAGTGGCAGTATCTGGGGCGCACCAAGCCCCACATCAGTCATCCACAGGGGCCACTTGCTAAGGATAAGCTGCAGGGCGGCGTTTCAAGCTCATCGAAGTTCAAGGGCAAGTACACCGAAAGTCAACTGGCCAGTCAGTTTCCTCCCTTCGACGAGTACGACGGTCCTCTGAGGACGCCTTCGTGTGGACGGTGCACGACGCATGCTCAACCGTCCCAACTCGCTGTACATGGAACCACGTCCGGATTTGCCCAACAATCGCATTGGGAGCCATGGCTCGATCTTTGGCGGTTTCTGGTTTGCACCACATGTAATGCCTTTAGTTGCGGCACCCAAGATCCCCGGACCGGCGTTTAACCTTTCCATCGAAAAATCTTCATTACCCGAGGAGCTGAAAGCCGACATCAAGGAGACCATTAAGAGCAGTGACACATCGTCTCCCCAATTTATCATCTAACCAAATCTGAGGAGCACCCTGGAAGTTTCGAATGTGAGGAGATCCTTCAGAGCCTCGGTTTAATCGAGCTGGCCAATGAGGAGGACGGAGTCATTAATGAATTGCCAAACGAAGATGTACTTTCCGCCAATAAAACCATGTCTGATGAAGAGTATTCGGAAATAGTATCAAAGGAAAGGGGCATACCTAGTATAGAATCTATTATAATGGGTGGAAAAATGGTAAGCGAGGAGAAGTTATCTTCAATTGAAAAGAGTATTTTTGGAAAACATCACCCTAGGAAAGATCCAAAGATCATACGACTTTAAAAGAAATAGAATTAGCCAAATTGCCGTATACTTGTCGAGCTTCTAGGCATGGAGTTGTATCTTCCAGCAAGCTCCCGGTACCCCTTGTAGCTAATCCCAAGGAGTTGCAGTTCATGAAGCAAATGATCAGGAAAGCTAGTCCTGTCCAAAACAAGCCATTAAGGGCGGAGAGTATATTTTGGAAAACAAATGTTTACCTTCAAAATGTAACCAATGCCGACGTCCTGTTAGAAATAAGACAGCAAATAGTAATTATAGGAGAATATCAAGAGAGAGTGAGTTAGAGCTATCGAAACTAAAATCAGTCAGCAATCAGCGAATATGTCCAGTTCATTCAAATACAGCAAAAAGGTTTCTATGTACGCGCAGAATAATAAACAATAGATCAGAAAATTTGGAAATGAAAAAGGTTGCTGGCAGAATCCAAACCCAGAAGCCTCTGAAGTTATTAGTATTTACCAGGAAGGTTCAAATTTTTTACAAAGCTTACCACATGAGCGTAGATCTTCCCAAGCTTCAAGTGGTTTCCTATGTCAGGCAATTGTCGGGAATACTTTCAGAGAGTTATGTTCAGGATCAGTTTCAGGATTTAAATATCGGCGACTCTGAGTATTTTCCCCGAGATCACAATCATAAACTTGAGACTAGCAGGCCCGAAACTTTAATGCCCCCTGATTATTCTACCCTGGAAATTAAAAAGAGAACAAGAGCAGGCTGGCCATATATGAGACAACCAGGGGTGTATGTGCATCAAAAAAAGAGATTGGTTAAAAAAAAAGTATTTAAACGGGTTACTTCGCAACGGGTTAGGCATACGAAAATAATCACAACTAAGGAGCCAAATTCATTAAAAGGTAATTATAATGTGATTGATGATTGAAATAATTGCCGGTCTTTTAAATTAACAAAAAGTAATTCCTTAGAAAACGAGTTGGAAATTCCAAGAAGCCCAGCTCTAATGCCCGAAATTAACCAGGCCTTAGAAAGTGAACGAAAGATGATCAAAGCAATAGTTACATTTTTTAGATCTACCAAGAAGCCATTGCAGAGAAAAAAGTTTAGGGGTTTATAGAAACTTTCACAATGGGACTGTCCCTTTTACCTGTTTACAGCCTCCTTAAAATCATTAAAAAAATGTATTGATTGCATTAATTGTATACCACTTAGTGTATATACTTTTAGTTCGTCGATTTTTCACATTTCACTACAGATCAACTTCTGAGAGATGTCATCATCCTTGAATGCAAAAGCCGGAAATAAGCCGGAACCCAAGTTTGAAGTTCACTATCGACATCCGGCAGCTGTTTTTGTGGGCGGATTGGCTAGTTTAGCATATGTGATCCTCTGCTGGCTGTCTTACATTATTATTATTGTAAGTAGTCCAGAAAATATACTAATAAGTTAACTAATTACACTTCTCCCTGTCACTAGTTATCTATCTGCGCTGTTTTCATTGGAATATTTCTACCAAGACAGTCCTGGCACTTGCTAAGCTCCATGCTTAATCAGTACCACCTCGAACGGCATTTTAAAGACGAATTATAATATATTGTATATTTGTTTTTTTAATAAAACGTTCGAGCAAGAACTACAAAACGCTCAAATATCTCTCACATCAGATCAGAATTGCCTAGCTTTATTTTTATATAATAGTTAATTGCGTGTTACACTACTAATTTCTTTAAGTTGTTAGTTCACTTTAATTACATTTAGAGTAAATATTTATGCGCATAGTCACGGTATGCGCTCTCATCTACGTACTCGCTATGATTATTATCAATTGTAATCGCTTCCTGCACTCGCTGCCACTGTATACATTTACAAACGTATGAATACAAATACAAATAAAGAATAATAAATGTTGTTTGTTTAAAGGCTTGAGAACATACTGCGGCAACTCAACTGAAGACCAAACTGCAGCCTTTAAAAAGAATCAAACAAATGCTATGGGTCAACGTAATATTGCATATAGGAATTATTGCGTGTTCGGACTATCGTCAAATACGTATTTTGAAGGGAGAACTGCAAGCGTTAAGCTCTATCCGAAGAGTGTCTTCAAACTAACAAATCGATAACTCGCTGGAAATCGCTCGACAAGCCTTCGCTGTACTTGGAATAATAGTTCGTGTGCTGCTGTTGCTGCTGCTGATGTACTTGATGTGTGATTCTTGTTCTATGTCTTCTTATCAATTAGCTAGATGTGGATCATTAAATATTAATATAGATTGTGGGGCTTCTCCGTTCATCCTAGTTGCCAGCAACGTTTTGCACTTCACTTGAACTGATTATCTCGTAATCTTTGCTAGAGCTCTCCGAGTCCGATCCGGAGGTGCGTGGTGTTCTGAAACAAAATGAAGTATTTGAGTTAATAACTAATTATATCAAGACTGCGTTGAAAGTGTAACTGTGGCAGTGTGTAAGAAGTATATTGTTGCTGATAATTAAAGATTGTAATGAATGCAGGACTTACTCAGTTGATACTTAAACCTTTTAGTTCCCATATCCAATTTGTATCAAAAAGTTCACCATGAGCCATAATAATGAGTGTTTTTAAAACCAAACTACCGCTTAAATGAGAACCTTTACTGATCACGAAAGGAAAATGTACATATTTACAAATGACATGCTTCAAAAAATAAATATAAAAATTGTTATGACAATGCGCAAACCAAAAGAATTAATGCTGTTTAATTATACAATATTATTTATTAAGGAACAAAGTGTGTGTTGGTGTGTACAATTAAAAGCTAGAGTTAATTTATATATCTTGCTCTTCACAAGTTGTTTTTTTCTTTCAAGACAAAACAAAACGAAAAGCACGTAAGAAACGAAACAATTTATAAATACAAAAATTCGAGCAATAAAACGGGAATCCTTTTCAATTTAGAGAGAAAAATAAAGAGAGAGCGGACCCTTCTTACCCATCTTTGGAATCCTTGGGCTGCGACTCCTCCACATCCACATCCTCGTCCTCGTACTCATCAGCTCCAACTTTGCGACGCTTTCGGATCTCCATGTCAGTGTCGTGTTCCTTGATTAGCTCAATTTTCTCCGGCTCAAGCGTGGAGACCTCTGCATCTACATCCCCGTCGCCGTCAGCATCAGCATCTACAGCTGTATCCTCGGCATCACTGTCCTTGTCCTTTTTCTTGCCCTTTGACTTGCACTTCTTGTCAGTTTTGCATTTTCCTTCGCTGGTATAATTGCTCTAATTGGGGGAAACATCAAATTATCGGTTAAATTTACAATATTATAATAGGTAATAGTGAAAAGTCAAACCTCATAAAGCGGCCAGAAGGATTCGAAGAAGCCCACATCCTCTGTCAGATTGGGGAAGATCCAGAAGTGCAGCTTGCCACCGGTTAGTGCCCACACAATGGTGAACACAATCAGACGGAACACGGTCAACGCCAGGATGAAGACGAGGAAGCCTGCTGCCGCAATGGAGAGATAGTAGACACCCTTGCGCAGCAGTGGTGGCCATAGGGGAAACAGACAAATGCCAACGGCACCCAGGAGCAGGATGAAACCAAAGATCCAGTAGTGGAGAGGAATGGGATCATATATCCAAACATAGGCCTCGGAACCGTCCACGAATATCTGCTCTGGATGCATGTCCAGTCGGATCTTTCGCTTTTTCTTCTCCTTCTTTTCCTTTTCGTTGCCAGCAGCACCACCATCGCCCTGTGTATTCTCCGCCTCTGGATCGGTGTCCTTCTTGTCGTCCTTGCCCTTGTCCTTTTCCTTCTCCTTATCCTTTTCCGTACCCTTTTCCTTTTCAGCCTTCTTGCCCCGGATCTCTTCCAGCGTGACGGGCACCTTCTTGGCGCGATGGAAGAACTTGTGCTCCAGCATAATATCCAGGAACTCCACAGCCTGCTCCCGGGTGGTGAAAAGCGGGCTGCTGCCCTCAGCAAATTTGGACTTCATTAATGCATCGATGGCCTTGCTGGAGGTGAAGTACTCGACGATGTGGCTCAGGAACTTGGTCTTCTTCGTCTTAACGTTCTTCTTCAGCCACTTGGCCACATTCTTCTCATCCTTCGAAGGCTTGTCCACTTTCTGGGCGCCCGGTTCGGCGTACTCCTGTTTGGAATAAAAATAAAAGAATATTTAGTCACTTCTTAGTTTACCACAGCAATCAATCGCTATGGGAGAAGCTCAAGCTATAAGTGAATATAGGCCACGACACCAATTTCGTTTTCGTCACACTCAAGCCGTTCCGGGGGCTTTTGGGAAGCTATCGTGGGATTTTCCCACTAAAAAGATCACAGTACCGGGTCATCATCGAAGATCTCCTGCTCCTCTTCCTCGAAGTACTCCTCCTCGTTCATTTTCTGATAGAATAGGAAACTGCGAACTTGGTAAATAACAAAGCCACAATGCCTTCTTGGTGGCTATGACGTGTTGCACTCGCTCCGAGAGTCTAGAAAGTATTGAATCTTGACTCTGGTCAAACGAGTGGCGATCACCAACACGAACAGCACGAGCAAGCGCCAACCAACAACACACAACACATACACGGTCACACACACGTGGAGAGTACACGAGCGTATTGAAACTTTCCCCAACAACAATAACAACTACGGCAGCGGCGGCCACAGAGCAGCTGATAAGTGGGGCTGCCTGCACCTGACAAGTGTTGGTAATGAGAGAGAGAGCCCCCAGCTCAAAGAGAGAGCTTGAAGAGCGAATCGAGTCAAAGAGCGGGTTAAGCGAGATCTCCGTTACAAGCGCACAGCTGTTTACACTGTGTATCACAAAGTTAATTGGCTGGAAAGTAAGTAAATACGAGCAATTGCAGCGCAAAAGCCGCATTGCTCCTCGCAGCGGGACAAGTTAATTATAGACCTTTGCATGCGGGGGGCTGATTCCAGCAGAACAAAAAACCACGCACCCACACACACATAGTTGGTTGGCCTCTGAACTTGCCCCCCCACAAATGCGTAGAAAGATTTTAATATAGTATAAAATTCAACCGTGATCCCCTCTCTCATATCAGTGATCTACGCTTTTTTTCTTGTTTGCCATTTCACGTTTTTTGCCGTTCCGTATCAAAACAAAAAACAAACACACTCTTGGTGTGCCAATTGGACCGTGGCACCACCCACTCACACAGCACCTGGCAGCAGCTGGACTAACTATTTGCTCGCGATTCACTTACATCCTTGCGACGACGGGTGCGCTTCTTTTCCGACATTCTCGTTTTCAAATGTAGTGAATTATTGCCTCCGAATTGGTTGTTTTTACAATTTTGATAATATTCTGCCACACACGCTAGTAGAGGTGGAGAAACATCGAAGTAATCGATGTTTTTCAAATATCGATGACAACGAATATCGGTGTTGCAAAATATACCATCTACGAGGAGGCACCAACTCTTTATTTCGAAATACAAACTTAATTTTCTTTAATTTTTATTTGTACTTTATTTACTTCATTTTGAGCACAAAATTAAAAAATAAACAAATTTGAAAACAGCAAGTATAAACCTACATACCGAAACTTTCTGATAAAAAATACTGCAGCGGACATCGATATTTTTCATTCTCTGGCCAACGATAAATCGTGAATGGGCCATACAATTTTTTCTGCACTGTACAAAATTTTAGCTAATACATATTATGAAAAATGATCATGATAATAAATTTAATTTGGGTTATTACATATTTACAGGGAATTATAATTTAAGTCTTGAGGTAAAACATTTATCCTTTTCAACAAATTTTCATTTAATTTAAAACAAGAATTCTTTGGTATTTTTAAATTTCAGTTTTAATTTTGGGAAAATATTACTACTATATTACATACATAAGAATAATCGGGAAATTAAGAGAAAAAATATATAAATATGAATATTTATATTGCATATATCTTTTTTTAGTTTCTCTTTTCATTAAAAATTGCAAACAAGAAGGGTATACAAACTTCGGCATGCCGAAATAATCTTCCTTATTTTTATATAAAATTAACAATTATAATTAAAAAAAAAAACCTGTTGCTGGCCAAACTATAATTAGTTAAACATTTTTTTGAGAGAACACCAATTTATATTGTTAAAAAAGTTGCAATACTCAAAATATATTTTATTCCACTCACATTTGATCAAATGTCGTAAAATCCATGCAAACTGAAACAGTCGAATTCCTTACATCCACTATTAAAATTATCTTTTTATTAATCTTTGTTTTACAACAAAATACAGACTAAATAATAAGTAAAATATATTATTTATTATATATTCTTATTATTATTATTAATAATGACCCTGGCCATTCGGGAGGATCAAAGTTTACGCTACTTTGTTTGCTTCCGGTTCTTGTTTCAGTTTTGGTGTGTGTTCAGTTGCTTCTCTTTCCGTTTCCGTGTTTGTCGCAATGGTTGATGTTATTGTGTGGAGGTGGGAAGGAAAGCTTAACCAATCCGCCGCCAAATATGTACGTTTTTGTTTAATGTTTACTTTGAATGATCGTTCAGCTTACTCTTTATTCTTAGACAAAAATATATAAAATGTGTTTCTAGTGCCTGGCGTGCATTTGAACAAAAGTGTTACACGGAGAAAATATTAAAAAGTTTGGCGTAAATGCATAAATAAGGATATGATTGGGAAGGTCTTAAGGTCGTGTTGCATACAAAAGGGACCGCGCTCCGTTTGGCTCTACACTCACACACACAGTTGTGTGCCTTACAATATATTATTCTTTTTTTACAATTTATTCGGATGCGTTACTCTATACATTTACAGTTTTTGTATGCATATACTTCTTTGTTGTGACATCTGGGAAGCTACCTCATCGCCCATTGCGATGAACTCTGCCCGGTCCCTCTCGCTGTTTAGGATGTCGCCGACGAATACAATAATCATGCAAAAGTCGGTCCGTTTACGACACTCATGCATGGTCCGCCATTGCCTTGAATAAAAAAACCTTCCCCAGACTCACGCCAAACGACGACGTTTTAAGGAAGGTCCCCCGAGACGGGTTAGGGGGCCGGCGACAAGCGCTCCACAATGCACATCGGCTCGAAATCTTGATCTGCTTTGAAATAGCCCTAGTTTCGGGTGCGGGAAAAGGTTGGGAAATATATGAACGAACTAGAACGACGCTGCCAATCGGAGGGAATACGCAAGCGCAGCCAATGGTTCATATGAATGGCCATTAACATCCTGTGCATCCCCTGCGATCGAACGTTTCTGTCAGGTTGGTGGGTGAGTGGGTAGATAGTGAGGGTAATGCATTACTGTTATGTTCGGCTGTGTGTCAGTGTCGGTTCTGTTCGGTGTGTACGCTTTAAACTAAATGATAAAATATAGTTTAAACGTTAGTCGTGTTAACTAATTGTTAAAATCTGGATCTTACGAATACGGCGCTTGAATCGTGTTCGCTATAGCCCAAGCGCTTGGTATGCTTGAACACCTCGTTGGTGATGCTGGTGACAGGCATAGACTGGTCCAAATTCTCTGCCATGTTAAGCACCAAACGCAAGTCGCGCTGCATGTGGCTCAGCGGCTGCTGTGGATTGAAGTCACCCTTGGCCATTTCTAAAAAGGGATTAATCACAATATATCTCCTAAATGGCTGGTAAGATTTCATTAAATACTTACCTTTCCCCTTGGCCAGCAGCATCGGTGATCGCATTGAAGTTAAATCAAAAATGTCTATTATATCCTTCAGCGAAATTGAGAAACGATCAGCTGCGAAAGAAGTATAACCAATTGTTTACATTAAAGCCCCTTTAAATGATTAAATAAAACTTACCCAGTGCTAACGCCTCAGCGAGTCCAACCATACTCACTCCCAGAATGGTTTGCAAAATCAGGTTCACCTTGCAAGCATTTCCGACATCTGCTAGATGTAAACAAGGGACATTTTTAAGGGATTGCTCTTGGGAAAATGAAACAACGCTAAGACGTTGGGCAATTGTACTTACTTCCCAAGAAGAACGTGTTCTTAGCAATGGTTTTAAAGCACGAGTGGCAATCCTCGAACACTGTGCGATCACCGCCGGCGAGGATGATGAGCATACCATCGGCTGCGTCTTGACGCGACCCGTGGATTTGCGCCTCCAGATAGCGACCGTTGCACTGCTTGATACCCTCGCCAATGTCCAAGGAGGTTTCCGGATCAATGGTCGACATTTCTACGTAGGCCTTATTGTTAAGGTCCTTTAGCTGCAGGACGCCACAGTTGCCAAAAACGAGCTGATTTAAGGAAAGATTCAATGCATGAGTTAGAAGAGTTGCATAAAAGCTGACTTAGTAACAGCTGGAGAATGTTTAGCTAGAAAGCTTCGTATTCTTTTGTATTCTAATTTAATTTAAATGTATTCAGAATCGTTTTTTTTTTTTTTTTTGTTTTGTTTACACTGACTTGGTGGTCAGTTTTCTTTCTCAATATGGAAGTTAAACTGACTTACTCAATTTATGCTATTTTGTCTTTTAATTTCGTTAGTTTATGCTTACATCTTTGGCGCCTTTGGGGTCCGAAACGCAGCAGAATATAACATCAGCAGCTTCCACCACATCCATGGGAGTGTCCTTAACTTCGGCACCGGCCTCCACGAAAGGCTGACACTGCAAAATTGACCAAAGTCATACAATACTGATTTTAGATTCTCTAACTCAAAAGCTTACCTTGTCAATGGTGCGGTTCCAGACCACAACCTTGTGCCCCGTGTATATCAAGTCCTTAACTATGGTCGAGCCCATCATGCCAAGGCCCAGGAAACCGAAGGTTTGATCCGATGGAACGATTTCGCGATCGGCCAACGTGTTCGACCGCGAGTTCATGTCGATGGCCTGCGTCTCTGGCCGCGTGACCACTGGACGGTCCAGCAGTGCGATTGCATTCGGTGCCCGTTTGGCCGCCAGCGAGGCCATCAGTGCGTCAGTCTCGATACGACGCCTGGGCGAAGAGCTGGTGCCGGCTTGGTCCGCTGCTGTCTCTCCGGAAGCCGCTCGCCTGCCACGCTTGGCGCTCGATGCTCCGGTGGGGGTCTGTTGCGCGGAGGTCCGCCGTTTCTGTGCTGATTTTGTGGAAGAGGACTTGCCTGACTTAACAGCGACAGCAGAAACGGACTTGGCCTTTGGCGTCCGCTTGCCACCTGATTTTGTTGTGGTCGCCGGCGTCGTCGTCACGGCTGAAGCGGCGGCGGCATCTTCGTGTGATGCTGCAGAGTCTGCATTATTTTCCCTATCTAAGCCCTCGGCCTCAGGACTGCCGACCACATGGGCCACTACACCATTATTGCCATCAGCAACTGAATCGTCTGCAGCACTCTCTTCATTGTCGAGACCATCGCGGATTTTGTCAAAGTCCGCTTCGGTGGCATGATTTGGCCCGCCGCAGCTGGCATTGACCTGCTCGTCCACTTCAGCGGGGTCGTCAATGTACTTCTCAATATCCGTCATGGCGTGCCTAAATGCAGCGGGCTTGCTCACCTTGGCCAGTTCATCCTTCCAGGGACCCTCAAAGGGTTTAATGTTGTTTTCCTCAATCCAAGCACTGCAAAATGATCCAAGAATATAATTTTCCTTCTTCGCATTTGGTAAATATATTACTTACAAGTTTCGGGAACCGAAAAAGAAGACACACTTGCAATTCGCGCGACGTTGCTGGCTGAGCATATCCAATGGCGGGTCCACAATCTACAGAGAAGTAGTTGTTAATATAAATTAATATTTCAGGGGATTTTCTAGATAGATTTCAATTCATTAGCCGAGGTAGTTTTACTATCTATTCATCCCAAAAATCACTTTATTGGCATTTTTTGGACAATAAGAACTAATATTCTTTATATTTAATATTAAGCATACGGCCGATATTTGCATAAAATTATTTTGGGCTTGGCACAATTATTTATTTCACTTCATTATAATTTTTACGTTTTTTCTGATATTCATTTCATTTTCTCACTTTTTTACTTATACCAATTTTCATGGTTAATATTTTTTCACTATTGTTTTTCAGTTTTTAGATAATTTTTTAAGAAACACTATTATATTTAACTTGAGGAAACACTGAAAGGGTACCGAATCTAAAAGGCTTGCGGGAAGCCTCCTTTTTTAGATTTCCTTGGCAACGAATAGCAGAAATATATATCTGAACACTTGGCCCGCGGACGAGCGTCGCTGGCCCCCTCCTCCGCTCTCTCCAACGCGCACATGTTGGCATCTGTGGCTGTACACGAACGAAAGCTAACGCCCGCTGACTAGCTGGCCCGATAGCAGCTCCAAAAGTGACGGATTCCAAGCCCCGCAAGTATGAAGCGAGTGTGCAAGTGCGTAGCCAGCAACACCAACAACAGAGGCAGCGCGGCGGCAGAGACGCCGGCAGCGAGCGGACAGAAGCGGTGCTGCAGTCGAAAAGTACAGTCGAAAACAAACACAACATGGCAGCGACAGCGACAGTGACTGCGGCAGAGGAGGCGGCAGCGGCGTCGACGCTGCATAAACATTCCGATCACTTACCATGCCCGGCCACGGGGTGAAGCCCTTCATCTTGGCCCTGTAAGCAAAAGGAAACACTATTAGAAAACTTCGTATTGGGCCAAACAGCTCTACGCGTTGGCAGCAACAAAAAAAAAAGAGCGCGCGCGCGAAAAAAGCGCCAACGCAGTGACGTCGACGTCGCCGAGGGCAGAGCCGTCGAGCTGGGTCGGGTCACCGGAGAAACACATAAAACTCGGGACACCGGAGCAACTGGCAGTCCATCCGGAATGCCTTGCGTGGCGGTCAAACGAGTGCTAATTGCTTTTTTACGCACACTTCACTTCTTTTTTTCGTTGGAGCGCCAACCGTGCACGATTGAGGTTATGTGATTGCTTTGGCTCTTAATCCAAGCGCAGAAAAATCAGGAAAATCACGGCGGAGCAATAGAACCGGGATGGCCGTATAGTCCCGGCCAGTCCCAACAAGACGGCACACGGCTTACCATATCAGATCCTTTAGTTTGTAAATAAATTTCTCTGTCGTGTCGCCGCCCGACAGCGACAGTTTTTTGTTCTTCGACATTATGTTGTCCAGGCGTATATTAAACTTGGTTATCTTGCTGGCTTGGGGGACAGAGCACACGAGCTAATTGGTTACTGGGGAGCGGCGCGAATCTCGGCGTTGGCTCTTGGTTATCTTCAATCAATTTCGTCCAGTTCGCCCGTATTTTCCTTTTTTTCGCTTCGAGTTGTGATGCGCTGCTTACACCGATAAACGATTGCTGACAGGCGCCATTTTGACTAACTATCGAGTAGACGTACATCGATGATGCTATCGATACTATAAATCAACGGTTATTTTTCCACATATTAGTTTTTACGTCACTTTAATACTACTAATACTAAAATCGTTCAAAAGGCACAATCTCCTAAAATGCTAAAAATATGAAATAAGTCCATTTGGCATTTTTTGGCTATCGGCTAGTGTTGGAAAACGACGTCTTTGGCCATCGAAGGGACTGTCAACCCAATGAGAAGTATCCATTTACGAGGTCCGGCAACGTCACTTGGTAAGTTCGATATTATTACCTTTTTCGTTAAAGCCTACCTTTTTCGTTTAAGCTTTGTAGTACGTTTTTCTCCGAGCTTCCGATCAAAGCCCGGTGACTGTAATATATTTTAAAACCAACATTAAGAGGGTGGATCACAGTTTGGCAACGCCGAGAACATGAGCTGATTGGCATTTTAGGTTCAAGATAAAACGGTCACTCTGCATTTTCCGGGCCACAAATGTTGGCGCCATTTTTCAAATTTCAAATTTAAGTTCTGAGTAAGTTGTTTTCCTCTCCTGAATGAAGAAAAATAAAACATTACTATTTTTGGCATAGATATATCAATATCAGATGTATTCTATAGTGCGAAATTGTTTTGCATATCTCCTTAAATTAGAACAAAACTAATCAATTCACAAGATACAATATCTATAGAAGGTGGAAAATTATCTCACATCTGAAGTCTTTAGCTGGACCCGAGGATAAAAATGGTTAAGGACTTTCCACTTAACCGCAAGTCAAGTAAAATAAAGTAACGCTCTTAGCCGCAAAATAAATTGCCACACGTTCACCCCATCCCTGCAGTGCCCTGATATTCAACACTGAGCCATATAATCCTCATAAATATGAAACAATCAAATAAAAAAGGAATAAAATACCGTGCGTGGTGAGGGGGCAGGCGACAACCCTGCTTTGGGCAAACTTTTATGAGCGATTCGGTGCCCGACAAACAAAAGGGGAAAAGGGAAAATTTGTGGCCGTTAAAGGGGTGAAAAGTTTATCCTTTTTTGCACGAAAAAAAACCGTACTTTTGGGGTAAATAAACGGATGACATTTTGTTTTGCAATTAGCACGATGTGGAATAGGGAAAACGGATTTATCGGCTCAGGATTGCCATCAATTACAAAAAAATATGTACCGCCTAATTTGGGTCGCTCCCACGTGTCCGATTTCTTGGATGATATAATCAGGATTACCGAAACACAATCAAATAAAATTATTAAGTACCTCTGCTTTTAATTAAGGAAGAATTTAAGATGTAAAATGCTAAATTATAGCAAGTTTTCAAAACATTGGTACTATAATCGACAATATCAAAAAATATATCGCAACATCGATATTTAGGCAAATAAAAAGTCACGATATAAAGATATAATTTTAAGAAAAATATCGATATATTGATATTTTGATATATTTTCGACAGCTATTTTTTTTGTTAAACGTTCACTTTGCTTTCTGGGAGAATCAGCTTGTGAAAAATTGCAATAGGAGATCAAAGTGCTGGTTGCAAACGTTTATTTTTGCTTGGAAAAGAAGTGTTAACTTAATTGGCAAGTAATTTAATTTATATTGTTGCAATTGCAACCGAAAGAGCCCAATAACCGCGATTGTTTATGCACGCAAGGTGCTCAGCTTTAAAAAAAAATAGGAGATCAAAGTGCCGATTGCAAACTTTTCTTTTCCCTGGAAAATAAGTGTTAAGCTTAACGATAAGTAATTTCATTTATATTGTTACAATTGCAGCCGAGAGCCCCAAGAACCGCGTTTGTTTATATGCACAAAAACTGCTGACAGGAAAAAAAAACGGCGCTCCTTTGACAATAAGACATACATATGTATGTACATATATGTATGCACAAGTATATGTGTGTCAGATTTGATTTTCCTATTGGTAAAATGGGTCAAAACCCATGACATTGCAGAAAAAAAGTGGTCTAACATTCACAATTCCAGAGATATTATGAATTTCAATTATTATTTCAGACTTGTTTCTAGATTTACTGGAAACTGGATATATCTATTTGAAGATCTAAGGTAGAACTTTTCTATATTGGTGCTAAGCCTGGACAACAGGAAGTGTATTACTAAGAAGTTATTGTATAACTTCACACAAAACATTAATATTTCCAATTACTTATTACTTTTATTATTCTTTCAACAGATTTGTATTTGCTCTTATAGTAATATTAAGCGGAAAAACATAAAATTCAACATCAATTAACGAATTCGGTTTAAATTGCTTGGCGGAGACCACCTCGATCCCGGTAAGTTCATTAACTTCTCCTAAATTTGTTCTTATCTATAATTAAGTAATTAGTTTTGGCTGCTGCTTTTGAATAACTTTCCATGATCGATCGCAACTATCCCTTATCCCGATTTACATATTATGCTGACAAGCGCAACAATGGCAGTGTTATTCGGGTATTTTTATGAGATAAACATTTATTTTGAGGCAGACTTTTGGGGTGGAAAGCGGTGTTAAACTAAATAATTCAATTGCTTGTCGGAACCCTTGCACGTGTTAAATGAACTCGAATAATAAGCAGAGATAATCAGAGCCTTGCATTTATTTTAGCTTGCAATGCGAGGAGCTCTGAAGCGCTTTAAAGTGTTGATAAAACAACAACTTGGAGAACGCCCGACTGCCGATTGTTGAGCACCACTTGCCACTCCCCAAGGAGGATGTGGCAATGCAGCAGGGACCAGGGTAGGCGGCAGGAGGCACTGCAGCAGATCTAGTGCAGCGCAAAACAAACAGCAAATAGGCACAAGGACCTCCTTAGTTGCGGCTTAGCCCGTTCCTTTGTTTTGCCATTTAGAAACTGACTGCAGTGGAAAAGGCAAAGTGTGCCGCACTTGCTTACGCTTTCCGCAACTTAAATTACCTAATTTACTTTCTACTAACTCACAATCCGAATCCACAAATTTAATCCTGTGGCTGCGCTGGATTCACAATTTTTGGCTCGCTTTGGGCAAAGTTTCTGACGCGTAGAAATCGCAGCGATTTACACATGACTGCACGCGGAAAATATAAACGAACTTTAAGCTCAACCTTACTTATATAAAATATTCAAGCAGGGATAAATTTAAATTAAAATAAATATTATTTCTACAATTTCTAAACATTATGTACTTATAGGAAGAGGCTTGAGATCCTTTGTATACCCTTTCAGAGTATTAAAATTATATTCAGAAGCTTGACAATCCTTTTTTAATGGTCAAGGAAACCCACAGTTTAGAGCATTCGAAAATAGCTTCCCGATTTCCGTATTTGCCTTTAAAATTCTATTAAAGGAGTAAATCACTAAAATTAATTATGTCTCAGTAACTTGTTTTTATATTATTATTATTTTCACACCAATTAGGGAGATGGAGAAGTCCCAATCACCACCCGAAGAGGAAGACCTTTCCATTATAATAACCCAGTTTTTGAGTCCTCATCAATTCAGCTATGTGATGTTAAAGGATGTGATGGCACGCGCATCGCGTGTTCTTAGAATCGAACAAGAACTTGTGAACCACTGCACTAAGGAAATGAAAGAACGCGCATACCTGGTAAACCAGGAGGTCATCGTTTTATATAAGCCTGGCTGTCCACCCAAGCTAATGAGGGGTGTAGTGAAAAAGTGTCTGCGCGATGAGTACGTAGTGTGGATCTTGGACTACGGCTTCACTCTATGCTGCTCTTCACTAGACATGTGGCCCTTGCCCGAGAAATTGGCTTTGACATTCTATGAAGTCAAGCACGGAGGTGTTGCGAATATTGCACCTGCGACAGACAACTGGTCTAAAAGTTGCGTGCGCGTTTTTGACAAATTATTAAAGGACGCCAAGCAGTTGAACTTTGAAGTCGTATGTCATGGCAATGCGAATCAAAATTTAGGGAAGCTCATGTTCAAGACTGACAGCCAGAGTGAAGATTTCCAGGATGGTGCCCAATTTTTGGTCGACCAAATGCATGCCTCCCGTAACATCTTCAACGACATCCCGGAACCAAGTGATGCGTTTAGCTTTGAGCTGGCCGAGATCAACGACCCGTTGATCGAAGCAGGTCCGCGTGTCAAAAATATAATCCAACTGGTGTCGTCGTCCAGTAACCCAAATCCGATTGTACTAACAACAATCCGCAACCCATATACAACAGTTTATCATTCGACATTACTAAAGCTTCGAAAGTGCAGATGTGGCGTGGAGCAAGTGAATCCAATTTGTCCCGGCCGTCGGAAAGGGCTCCGTTTCTGGAACAATCTGTTGACTATCGTTTTCCCCTCAAAGTTCCGATGTCTGCCATGATAATGCGTAATAAAACCTCGCCGTAACAGTTTTGGAAAGAACATCTATTGAAAATAATCAAAATAATAACGAAATTATGCCCAATGAAAGCAGCGCCCTAAATGCAGACCTGGAGTCAGAATATGAAGATGCCCAAACCCCGGTTGAAGACGATTTGTGGAAGAATTTTCAGTTGAGAAAACGATCTTCGTCATCTTCCGCAAGCAGTGAGGACAGCTTCTGCACCGTTAAGAATGCTTCATCAGACGACTTTGAATTGTCAGAATCACCGAAGTCTAGCACAGAATCGCTTTATCTAAGTCCAGAAGTGTCCCTTTCCACCTCCGAACGTGATTTCTCGTCATCTGCCACTACGAAGAATGCATCTACCTCGACCACATCATCAAAGAAAGGAGAATCATCATTTGTAGATGATAAGCTAAGTCGCATTTATAATGAAGCTCTTCAAACTAAACACGATCTCTTTCACATTGCGGAAAATTTTCTAAAAATGTTAGCGAGGCCCCGCCATCAAAGACCATGGCAGTTCTGGCTCACAGCCGACAAATGGTTAATCCTGTTGACTCGCTGGCCCACTTGCCATTTTGCCAGGAGATCCGTAGAAGCATGAATGACCTGAACATTCGTTCAATGCTCCAATGCAGTTGTACTCATGGCCGCATATCATGAAGGCGGATCGGTAGTGCTGATTAATGACCCCGGGAGGGGTCGCACTTGGAGCTACCTGCCCGTACTGTGTTCCGCGGTGTTGAGTTCATTGCAGAACACCGCGTATAGTCGCGCCATAAAGCTGGGTCCACTGGCCATTCTCTTGGTGGATTCAAAAGACCGTGCCAGAGAGCTGACCAACATTTGTATCTCTCTGATGTCAAGCTCTGACACCCAGATGCTGAAAGTGGTCAATATCATGGTATTCTCTGAATAATTGCCAATGATGTTACTCAATTCGTGCGGTATCCTGGTCACAACACCGGACCATTTCCTGGACCTAATGAACTGTGGGATAAGCCTGATCGATCCGAAAAGGCTGGAGTTCTTCATTTTTGATGACTTTGATCGCGTGCAAAAGGCGACTACCAAGGGCTTAAATGAAGTGATAAAGAAGTTAAACGGGATGCCTACTAGCCCAAGGATGCAGTTGATCTTGGTGGCCCAGCAATGGCATGAGAAGGAGTTTGAGAAGCTTCTGAAGGACACGCCAAAACCATTGGCTGTCTTTGGCAATTTTCTCGAGGCAGCCATGTATGGCGATCTAGGTTGAAGTTTATTCTGAAGGAATCCAACAAAAAGGCAGACGTGTTACTCAAGTTTCTGGCGGATCAGAAAGCTTTCAATAAACGTACAGTCATATATTGCAAAAATGAGATTGATTTAACCGTCCTTGATAGAATCTTGACAAATGCTGGGTACGAATGGGTTGGCCCTTCCGATGCCCAGAACCAGGTGAATGCACTCTGCCTAATTATTAGTTAAATTAAGTGATTTTTCTTAAATATACTTTCAGGTGCCCCACAAGCTGTTGATGATCAGCGACGAGATTGAAACGCCCCGTTTGGCAGTGCGGAACTTCGAGGTAGTCATCCATTACAGCCTACCCAATACATGGTCGAAGTTTACCAGCGATTCAGTGCCATGGCCGATCAAATCCCGAACTATTTTACAACTATGGCACAGGATGAAAAGAAGCAACCTCTGTTGAGCTATTTGTTGCTTGACAGGAGTAACTCCCGGCAGTTTGACCGTTTGACTGAATTCCTTCGTGCCCACGGATATTTAACGGACGGGGCTCCCTGGATGAACTGCCAGCCGCAGGTGGATGATAGCATTCCTTGTTGTCCATTTTTTCTCAGTACCGGCGAGTGTGACATGTCCTGTCACAAGAGGCATCATTTCATTCCAGCCGATATGCCTGAGAATCCTATGCAGCAAAAGGGATCCGTCATCCGCTGCAAGTTGTGCAAGGTCTATGACCCAACTCACATGGCTGTGTGGCCTCTGCAGTATCAGACCAATGGTTCGACTGAATGGGTGGATGCTCCCTATCCGGTCAATAAGTGGCTCCCAGCTATTGAAATGAGCATGGGAACGAATCAAAACGTGCATCACCCATATCGTCTGAGCGATGTGTGTGCTGTTCACCACCTGGGATACTTCAAGCGCGTCAAGATCGTGGACATACAGTCTAGGGGACAAGTTACTGTCCAGGTAATGGATTACGGCACAGAGTTGCTACACGTCAACGCCAGGCAATTGCTTCAGTGTCCGGAGCAGAAGTTCCGGGCCATACCATCACTGGCCATGGATATTCGACTATCAGGATTGAGCGTCGGAGAAGGCAAGTGGTTGACAGACACCACCCAGTGGGTTAAACAATCCCTTTCCGAAATCACTGACCGTCAACAGATCCAGATAACCGTCGATTTTTCCATGCTAAATGTGGTTTATGCAGCGGAAGTGGCTTTGGTGGAGAAGTGTCTCAAAATGGGAACTAGTGTCTATAAACTACTTTTGCGCAAGGAGCTAATTAATAGAGGATTCGGTCAAGAGGATAGCCAAAGTGATGTCAGCTGCACCGTCAGATGGGCGAGCAAAAGAAAAAGGCCAACGAGGGAGTTAAGGACAACAAGGAAAACATTCACTAGACACCGAAAAGACAATCTACACTGAGAATACAAAGACATTTATTCTTCCCAAAAAGTGAGCCAAGGAATCTCTGACGTCTTTAAGATCAGGAAGGTGAACAAGCCAGAACAGATAATGGAAGAAGTGGATCCAGTTCAACCCAAACAAGAATTGACCAAAACTGATTGCGAGCCTAAAGAGTTACCGTCGAACGAGAACAATGCTCCAAGTTCCCCAGAAACTGGACTCGACCAACTATCAACAAGCACCGAAGCCCTTTGCCAAGCCTTAATGCAAGAATTGGACACCATGAGTACCCCGGTAAAGCAGGATACCCACAAGTTCCTTCAAAGCATTTTGGTAGAAATCGAGGCCACCAACCACAAGAAATCCAATGAACTGGATGAATTGAAGCTAAAGGATGCCCCCCAAAAAGATTCCCAAGGCCGCCGGCTAAGCCCGTAAGCCTGTCTTTGCTGTATTCAAAAATATCTAAAACAGCAGTCCGTCCCAGAGTCAAGTGGCATCAAACCAAATTCCACATCGAGCTAACCATTGAGCAGCAGGTACCGGATTCGAGCTCTGGCTGGTGAGCAAGACTTTGATCTACAACGCGTCGAGCAGTTCGCCACCTCAGCAATTTGTGCTGCCACTGCTGGGCAAGGTGCGGATCGTGTCCCAGAAGCAGCATGGCTATTACCTAAAATTAAGCTGGTCAAGATGAGCATATTAGAGGATTGGCCATCGCTTTGTGACTCAGTCTACACCCAAAAATATTCCCACTGGCTAACCTACGACGTCGAGCGAGCTGATGACCAGCACCGCCGCCGGGTCTAGTCATGTGGGATCGCTACTCAAGACACCAGGTGAACAAGGACGACTATAGCAGCGAGGACGAAGATTTGTTGACAGGCGTGGAAGGCTCCGACTCAGGTGAAATCTTTGATGATTGTTAGAAAAATATAGATACTTAAAATACTCTAGATTAAAGGGGTGTTCTATATAATGTATTATTTTGATGGTACCTATGTGTCAAGAGATCGTAAAAACATAACCTCAATATACTCTACACAATGTTGCCATCAATATTAATAAATAAACTGTACATACATACAACAACAGAACGACAAGTTTTTTGTTAAATTCCCATGTTGAAGACATGTAATAGTGTTTTTTTAAACATATTTTGGAGGTTGAAATACGGTTTTTTTTCCCGGTTTTCTACCTTCCACATAGAATATTATAAAAGTTTGCTCAGTGTATTTCCAGCATGGCAACGCTGTTTGCTTTCCGGCGTCTTACAGCACTGGAATGATCATTTTTCAACCCTTAAAACGCAGATCAGACGTTGTTGTGGGTTCGTTCACATTTTTATTTTCTTTTCGCGACCAAAAGGATGTTTTCCTGCAAGAAAAAGCGTGATGCACATTACTGGCAGAAACAGGCAGCCACCCTGCCGGAACTCGTGTCAAAGGATCAACGGCAACAGGAACTAAGGCACCTTCAACACCGAGCCTCCATTCTGTGGTCGCCCCAGCTGCCGGAACAGGACGACAAGGCTCTGAGCGAGTACCTCGACTTCGCACTCACCGAGTACCAGATTGAGGAGGAGCAGGCTCTCTTTATCCTACGCAGCCAGGGTTTCGATCTTACGATGGCCCGCCGACGTCTGGAGCGGAATCAGACAGCACGCGGGTGTCACTATCATCGGTGGAAGGCCATGGATTTGGTGGCACTCTCCAGGGCTTCAAAGAGCACGGCACTGACTTTGAAAAGGTCCAAAAACAACTGCCCCACTTCCCTGTTGCCGAGGTACGACGCTACTTCAACTTTATGTACTCCGTGTAGACCAGGAATCGTCCGGTGCTCCAGAAGATATCAGCATGGATTTCTTTACTGATAGTTATGTTGAATTAAAGGTAACCATTTTTTTTTTCTTTAAGGTCTTAAGATCTGCATTTACCCCAAGTTCCTAAATGTCCATTACCATAGGTGTTATAAGCCTTGAACTTAGTCTTTGTAGAGACGTATGCTAAGAAGCTTCAAGATTTAGAATAATTTTAATATAATAAGGCTTGAATGAACATGACTTTATTTTGGATACACCATATATATATTTGCATTATTTCCTTAGGCTAACAACTATTACGAAGCGTGTGTATCACTAAGTAAATGTAGTTATAATACATGTATATTATTTTGTTTATATAAGTTGTTATCGAATGTGAGCTTATGTGCCTAAAATTTACAAAATAAGCTTAGATAAGTCTATATTGAGTTTATATACAAATTAAAATGGTTAATACAAAATTTGGCCTTTTTGAACTAAGCTAAAAAAACTCCATGGAATTCTAACTGGAAGATATGAAATTAATGATTTAAAAGTTTTGTATGCATTTGAAAATGTGATATTTTTTCAGTCTGTTTTTCGTTGTAATGAAACAAAATTTGCTTAAATGAACAAGCTAACAAAATCATTGGAAAAAACAGGATATATCTTTTTTAGATTTTCAAAAATAAAATCAAAAGAATTAACGAATTGGAAGATGAAATCAAAAACGGTGAAAACGTGAAAGTAAATGCAGATTTTCTCCTTCAGTCTAGATCTAATTCAGGATTAGTCACTTATAGCTAAATGTGCTATGCTTCAGCGCATCGTTGTCTGCTGCTAGGTGTGCGAGTTCCTTCCTCGTCGTAGCGCTCTGGCTCTGGATAATACAATGTGGCTATGCTGCATCTTGCCTACATCTAAATACGTATCTAAACTAGGATTCGGCTAGACTAAGGGCTGAGACTTGCGTACATTTCCTTTGGATGCGATGCCCGTTGGATGCTTCTAGGACTACCTATGTTACGACTAAAACAAACTGCTCTGCTTGGCTAGACTGCAGCGGTGCAGGGTCATTGTGCCCGCGGGGTGTATGGCGAGGGCGTGCAGCCCCGCCGGTGGCGGCGTGGTCACCGGACCCCAAGACAGCCGCTTTCAGTTGGGCCTAAGCGGCAGCATTCCATAATGTTGCTGCTGCTGTTGCTGCATCATCATTTGCTGTTGCTGCTGCTGCTGTTGCTGCTGTTGCTGTTGCTGCTGCTGTTGGGTTGCCATCACTGGTCCCTGCGAGGTTGTGTAGGTCACGGCAGAGGTTGCCGGTGGGACACCACAACGGGTGCACTCACCTTCCGCTCCGACTGCGTGCGAATGGGTTGCGGATGAGCGGCATTGGGCTGTGGAGGCGGGGCATACATCAGCATGGGTGGCGGAGGTGGCGATGGCTCCACACTGGGATGACGTGCCGGCGGTGTGACTGCCGATCCATGATACGAGCCGTAGGAGCTGTCGTCCGACTGAGCCGATTGTCCACGATTCCTGGGTCCTGTTACGCCATACAGCTGCTGCTGTGGATCCCGTCGATCGTACTTATGGCTGCCGTCCATGGGCGTGGGGTTCGTCCGGGTGCCATACACAGGTTGGAAGCCCTGCGGCTGCTGCTGCTGCTGCTGGAGAGGATCGGGCATCAGTTGTGGAGGCGGCTGCTGTAATTGCTGCTGCTGCACTCCCACGACGGGCTGTGGCTGCTGAAGCTGCTGCTGCTGCTGCTGGAGGGGCTGTTGCTGTCCCCGCATGGAGCCTCTCATCCCGTAGATGCTCTCGCTGCGCTGTTGCATCTGATTCTGGACATTTTGGTTCTGCAAGTGGGAGGATTGGGTGGCCTGCTGTTGCTGCTGCTGATGTTGCTGTTGTTGCTGTTGCTGCTGTTGTTGCTGTTGCTGCTGTTGGGTGCGCATGGGATAGAGACTTTGGGCGGGCACCAGTGGTCCAGGGCGTGGTACAATGTCCCTGTTGATGGCTGTGTTGCTCTTGGCGTAGACGGACTGCGAACGATTCAGGTTGCTCCTGGTCAGGGTTGGGGAGCGGCAGTAGAGCGAGCGGGTTCCACCATACAGCGGCTCCTGCTGCTGCTCGTACTTGGAGGAGAGTGGCGGAGCCGTATACAGGTTCTGGCAGTAGTTTCCTTGCCCAGGAGCAGCCACCACTCCCGTCATCTGGCCCATATTCCCGGCTTGATGTTGAACATTGCCTTGCTGCTGACCTCCGCCATTGCCACCGTTCTGGCCACGGGGATAGGTGCCCTGCGATTGCTGGTACTTGCCGCTGGGTTTCTCCAGGTCCATGTCGTAGTTAAGCTCGTCCTCCGAGTGGATGGAGCTGGAGTCATTGTCAATGCTTCCCTTGCCATGTCGCAGGTTGCGGCGCGAGTTGAACACATACTCGTACACAATGCCGGAGGCCATGCCGCCCACCAAAGGTCCGAACCAGTACACCCAGTGGTTGTCCCATTTGTTCAGCACAAACGAGGGACCCAGGGATCGGGCTGGATTCAGGTAGGGCATCTGTGGGGAAAAGAGAAACCGAGGGGTTTGGTTAGATTTTTGACAAATTAAGGAGGAATTTAAATGGTTTCCCAAGTTTAGTCCGGAATTTACTGCACGCTGTTCATCAAAAGCTAAGTAGTTGAGGAAAAAGTTGCGAAACAAAGTCTAGTTGAGGATAAATTACGGACAAGGCACGCCTGCTCTTTTGTCTTACGAATATTTGCATTTAAAAATTTAATAAAGTGAAGCACAAAAGAATTTTAAGATTTTCTTTAAGAAAGAATGTTTGAAATGAGAGATAAACTAAGCTCCCTGACTTTATGCAGCCTTTCCTTAAAGTTTGAGACATTTAAAGTGATTTAAAAGTCTGTTTAAATATTTTCTATTCAACAAATAAAGTTTGTATTCATTTTCTCAAGACTGTATCCCTCTTGAATGCCGGCTAACAATCTTTCTGCGAATCTCATATCCATCGTAATTCAATCCGCCTTCGATATAAGCCCGACTTTAATCGCTTTCCCCTCGTCATCGTCATCATCATCATCATCATATCTCCTTTGAATGCCGCCAGAAACTGCCCGTTATGCCAACAATGCAGCTCTGTCCTGGAAGACCCTGTGCTAAATTAATTATCCCGACCCTTTGCCCCTTCGCCAGCCCGGAATAAAAGCCTCTTCTACCTGAAACCCAGTTTATCTCGTCCGTTGTCATGCTGCGATTTTGCACCATCAAAATGACAGAGTCACAGTCGGTAGTCGGCAGGTGCGTTTCAGTTGTTTGTTTTCGGTCTCAGTTTCGGTTTTTGGCGGGTTCTTCTTTCTGGTTTCCAGATTTCAATGATTCTCAGTCCGGCATTCCTGGGACTCAAGTCAAGGCTCTCATCAACTTACCGACACAAAGCAGCAGGCGCTGTATGCAGCTCCAATGAGACGGCGGAGTTGCCCATGAATCTCCTAAGGGGATCTGTGGACACGAAGTAGCAGAGCACCACCAGAAAAGTGAGGATGAATTCCACACCAAAGCGTTCCCAGGCGGCCAGGGAAACGTTCTGTGAGATGGCAGCCAGTAGATTTCCCTGATATCCTGGCCCAGAGACTCTGTAAAGAAAATTAACGTCATGAGTAAATACTTAATGAAACAAAAAGGAATATAAAATTAGATATTTTATTTCGTTTATTTGATTTCCCACTACAACTGATACCCGGATTGATTCGAGAGAAAAGTTTGTTAACCCAAAAAGTTATTGACAATCTAAATTATTTATTATTTAACGCTGTGACAGTTGCGAAATCAACCCTCCTCTTCCTGACCTACAGTCTCAAACTCTCAACCCCATTAATCTGTTCACACTTGAACTGCCTCAACATCATTTAGACTGTCAAAGTTTCAATTACCAAGTTGCCGAAGTTGTTGAGGCACCTCCTCTGGGCCCAAATGAGTTTGAAGCCTTGCGATTTATGGGGATAATTCGTATCCTGATGCAGGATGCAAAAGTTTTTCAAAAGCCATCATATATTACACGGCTGGAACTCTTTGGATTGTTGTTGTCAGCGGCAGTCGGCAGAGATCCATTAGATAGCATTGAGCCATAGGCAGGGCTGGGTAAATATTGCAAAAGTCAAACCGCAATCCTCTACCTGGCACTTGGGAATCCCAAGCCTCAAGAATCCACCTTCAGTTGCTTGCTCCCTCATCCTTCTACTCCCTTGCGAAAATCCGGAAATAAATGCTTTCGGAATGCACTTAAAAGTACTTGAGCAAATAGAACGCCTTTCAAAGGGAAATTGCTCCGAGTTCCGGTTGCTGGTGGGGATTGGAGGTGGGGACTGGAGATTAGCGGGTATTAGGTGGCCATAATCCCTAACTGATTCCCAAGAAACCCTCGCCTCAATGGTTTCCTCTGTGACCACCGACTGGCTCTTCAGTCTTGATTAAAATTTGATCGCTTAGGAAAACAGTTTGGGGCAACTTTCAACTTGGACAGGGACTGCACTCCTGCTTGTTTGCTCATAAATCTATAAAGTGCTAATTTCACAGGACGCCAGTGACCAAAACCACTCGTTCGCCGAGATAAACAAACAAACACTCTCATGAGTTGTGGACCAGAGAGCAGGAAGCAACTAAGTAGCCGGAAATGGCAGAATGTTGGGCGGGCAGTGCCTTTCAGCAAGGTTCTTCCTCCGCAAATTGTTTGCGGGATAAAAAAAATGTATAAAAGTACCAAAAAAGAAACAAGTGCTGGCAAACTGCAAACTTGAACTGTGAACAGGATTCGTCGTTATCCTTATCCCCAAGTGTGGGCGAACACTGGCACATTTCCTCGCACATCCCAGCTCTCTAGCCACCGCGAATGGCTGATGGCGGATTGCGATGTGCCATGTGCAACACGCTCGGTTTGGTTTGGTTTTAGTTGGGTTCCTGGTATGGTTTCACTGGTGGTTGGCTTTCTGGCTGGCAAGGATTGGGGACTGGGACCTGGGACCTGCAATCCCGATGCGGCTCCAAATCAAATTATGCCACGGAATCATTAAATGTTTTCATAGGATTCATAGTTGATTTACAGTGAAAACTAACTCATGCAATTCTAGTTTTTATTTAGAGGAATCTCAGTAAAAAAACATTTAATTTAATTTATCAATTGTAGAAATATATCCATATGTTAATACCTATGCAGGGATTTATAATTTTAGTCAGCAGCTTGTAACTTTTGAAAATTTTATAAGGGGTTACATCGTTAAAATTCTCGAAAATTGATCAAAATTGTAATTTCTTTAAATTTTAAATTGAGTATACAGATTTGTTAACCTATTAAAAACTAACATAGGAAAGCTTTCTGATTTAATTTTAATGCTCTTTTGACAGAGTTGTGATATTTTTAAACTTTGATTATTCGAAAAAATTTTGAAAAATTTCTAGCTAATAATTGTTAACATATTTTTATTTTAACCGTAGCAAAAATGTAAATACTTCATTAAATGTAAATACACAAGTGCATTTTGGGGAGTTTCATTTTAATGAACTCCCTTTTTTTGTAACCCCATCTCCCAGGTGTCGTATGAATGGCGACGACATAACTGTATAACTGGACCACCTGTGCTCCATTTTAGATGCGGATGCGGATGCAGGGCCAAGTGAAGGCAACCGGAAGCTCTGGCAGGATGCCATTTCCCAGTCAAAGTGCGATAAGCCAACCGGAGCAATAGTAACTAATAAAGGGGGAAAGGGAAAGGGTTTGGGAACGGGAACGGATTCAGTAATTGAATTGCCCATGTGACACGAATTGATTACGATTTCAATTCCCCCTAAACCAATCCTGCACACGCAGGAAGTGCATTTCCATGCTAGATAAAAATCGAAAGGGTGCAGGGAAAAGAAATTTTTGAAATGTTTTCATAGGAATTTTTATGATGAATGGAATATTTAGAATGTGAATTGATTTAACGAAATGATTGCATGATTTATATTTATATTTAAATTAATCTAAGAAATTTCATGAATTTTTGTTGAAAGTCCTTTTTAGTCCCTTTATATACATAGTTATCCTAAAACTTATTAAAATATTTCCCAACTTCTACCCCAAATCTCTGCTTCAACTCTCAAATATTTTCCTCAGTGTCAGGCCCTGATCTTCCCTTCCGCTGTCCAGTTCAATTCGTTTTAGTTTTCTGTTTAAAATTTAAATGTGCTGGCTACGAAATCCTGTTTTGCGTTTTCATTTTCTTTTTTTCCTTTTGTATCTTTCGGTTTCTTTGTGTATCCTCGGCAACAGTAATTTCTGTTTTGGGCAGCAGGTGTGTGCACAGTTCAGCCTGAATTTTTTCCAGCTGCTCCTCAACTGACCAACCAGAGCGAGCAGCAACGACTCTGGCGACACGTGTTTGATTTCAAGTTTCCGCACCGCATCCTGCATCCTGCGCAGGCGCAGCTCCGATGAACCATGGACAAAGGCCGACAATCCGTTGGAAATGTTAATTATGCTTCTCTGCTTTTTTTTCTTTTGGTTTTCTTCGTTCCACGGTCTTTGACGGCCTCTACCTGATTTTTATCTTTCGTCATTTTCAAAGGCTACTCGCATTTTTGGAACGTGCTCGGCGCGCGTTCTTCGAACCGAAACCAAAAAAAAAAAAAACAGAACAAAATACATTGAGAACGAGGAAGAAATCATTGAAATGCGAGGAGGAGCTGCTAAAGACTATTCAAATATTGCTGAGCCGGATATCGATACTCAAGACCCCCTCGCACTTACTTTCTGCGTTCTTTATGAAAGATAATGAAGTTGGGACTTAGCTCAGCTCGGTTAAATTTGCTGCCACTTGGCCACATGTGGCATATGCGGCGCAATTAGGGTAAGTGCCAAGTGACATGTGACAGGGAGAGGAGCAGGAAGGACAGCTGAAGTGGCAGGTCCTTGGGGGTGGCGCGACTGGTTACTTAGCATGTTTGCCTACCTAGATTCTAGGATACAAATCATACATTTGCAACACAAAAATATACAACAAATTTTAAAGAAATAAACAGTGAATTTCGATTGCCTCCTTATAAATATATTTTATATATTTTTTTACAAAATCACAATCATAATTAACTTGGCAATCCCTCACTAAATCACATACAGTTCTTGGAAGCCTCCAATTCCTGGGCTATAACCCACATATATAATCGGAATCTAAACCAATTAATCAGCAGATGTACAGAGAAGAAGCCTTTAGTCTCTTTTTCATTTTTTTAGGATTTCTCTTAGGGAAACATGTGTTTCGACTAAAACCCAATGTGAACTCGTTGGACCCTAAGAAATCCATATCAGCAGAAAATACGAAAAAGAAGAAAAAACCGAACCTGATCGCAGTAGCAGCTGAAACATGTTTCTTTCGTCCCCGTTCCCTTTCTCCTCCTGAACGGGGATCTGTAGAAAGTAAAGATGCCAACGCACTTAAAAAAGCAGGGGCCTCCTCTCCTCCGAGGGTCGGAACAGATGTCGAGCAGACAATCGGGACGAGGCATTAACATTAAGCATTGCCACGAAAAGGAGTTCAATGTTCAGCACAAGAAAAAAACCAACCCAGAGAAGTGGAGCGACATTTGAAAAATGGTGCGCAGGCGCAGAGACGACCAGCAAGGAGGAGGAGTAATGTTTCTGCTGTCTTTTATCCTGTTCCTGCTGGTCACAAAGGAAACCCTGACGGGCACAAGATTTTTCGGCTAGCTGGTGTGTGCGTGTAGAACCTATCCTGTGTCTCGTCCTTTTCTAGGCTCACAAAGGACAAGTTCCCTTTCGAGGCGGGAAATCACTACGCAGATATAGAGAGCTGAAGGGCAGATGTTTCTCCACCAGCTACCTGCGTCCTATCCATGCAGGTGTGTGTGTGTGTGGATTACCTGCATATCCTATTTATAAAATTTCCCATTTCTTCGTCTTTGCACACACGCATTTCATTTCACGCTTCCTGCCGAGAGTCCTTGTTGTACAGTCATCGCCCCGAGAGTGCGTTTCATCTGTCTCTCTATTCGGTATCCTGTCTAGCAATCTTTTTACGCTTTGATTTACGACCTGGCCTTGGAACAGCCTGTTGGATTTAATTTGAAACTCTCATGTTTGCTTTTCGGGCAAATCCGCACGCAGATGCACAAGGCAGGCAGGATAATGCAGTGTGGTGTCCTTGGCATAATGCAGAAATTGCTGTGGTCAGGCACTTGGACATGAATGCAATGCACACGCACATACAATTATACCAACTACATTGTTGCAAAACCGAAAATTCAAAATGAATTCCAGTTGAATTGAATTTGATTAGTTTGGTACTTTAAGAGAAGAACGGTTGACCTAATAGATTACTGTTAGCCTTAATTATTACTTGAATAAGGATAACGCTGAAGGACATATTCAATGGAGGTTGTTTGAGGTGTTTAATATACCTATGCATAGTCCAAATATTAAGGTTTTCTTTGTATTTAAACTAGGTTAAGCAATCAGTTCAAATATAAGTAAACTTACCCATAAAGCAGAGCAGCTCCGGCAATTCCTCCACCACATTGGGCGGTCATGTACATGGCGGCACGAATCGGAGAAATGCTCCTCACCACGCACAGGGCCAGGGTCACGGCGGGATTAACATGGGCGCCTTCATGAAACAAAAAATATAATTGAAAATTACTTAAGATAGGAGCACCATTGGGTATAATGGATGGCTCCCCGGGAGCAACGTTAAATATCACTTTGACACTTCTGCGGAAGGCAAAAGATAACATCATAACTTAATGCTCAACCAATTGGCTGTGAAAAAAGGCAAAGGGAATCGCGGAACCGCAAAAAATGGGAGTTTCGTTAAAGGCAAATCAAGAACACATGGTCCCAGTGGCCAGGTCCTCTCCAGTTCATTCTCCCTACCATGGTCTTATGATTTTTTTCCCTGCAGTCGCTTAATTGCCTTGAATGTCAACGCAAATGAACAAATATATAAATACCAGAGTAAATGTAGGGAATACGAGAGAGAGAGAGCTTGGGCCAGTCGATGGCACCACAAGTGCGCCTGGGGCGATAAGACAAGGAGTCAGACAGGAGGAGGAGTCATCGTTGGACTTGGTGTAGGGGGAGTAGGTGGCACCGCACGGAGTGCATTGCCTTTTCGAAAATATAATATAACAAACAAACAAAAATAATGGAACGGGGTTCGTGTTCGGTTTGCTTTGGTTCTGCAGTTTCCCACGCAAGTCCAAGGGCCCCCAAACACTTGTCGCCCTGTTTGTTGTCTGCTCTCCTATGTTGTTTATTGTCTTCTTTGGCTGAAGTTAGCTTACCCGAGATCTGAAGGAAGCACTGCGTCAGTGTTGCCATCGCCAGTCCAGAGGCCAGAGCCGTGGCCAACAGCACGGAGGAGACACTGGCCCCCACGCCGGCGCCTGCGGCGGCACCGCAGACGATGAACACGTACAGGAACGAGGCCAGGCATTCGCTGATGATGGATCTGGAATGGAAGGGGAGCACGAGGAAGCGGTGGACCATAGCCCGGGGTTAGAATAATTCCGCAACTGTGTTCGGGAGTTCGGTTTGCATGCCATTCCGTGTGTGACTGGAGTGTGTACAGTAAACACTGAACGAGGAAGAACTTTCTTATTTATTTTTAGGAACTTCTTTGGTATATATTTAAGAAACTTATATCTTGATTTCAAATAAAAATAATATGGATTTTCATTATTAAAGCACTTTTAAGTTTGTCCAAAAAATAAAATTCTATTAAATAAATCTCTTGATATTATCTATTTGAGAACTGTTTCTTGGGGTATTTATTTTCAATATAATTCAAATCTTTTTCAAATGTGTGACTTAAAAACCCTTTACTTATTATTTCCTCATTTTGACTATGTATTATGGTTTCTTCAAGACAAACTTTTACTATTTCCTTTTTCCTTACCCCTTATGTTATACAAATTGTATGAAAAGCTTATACAACTTTTTTGTCAAAAAACTAACAATTGAAATAATGTAAAATTCCAAAATAAATATATAAAATTAGTTTAAGATCCCCTTTTAGTGAATCTTCACTGTATTGGACAAATCAAGCCACCACACACACAATGCTCGCTCTTGTTGCCCCCAAGCTTTTTGCATTGCAGTGACAATTAAGCAGGGGCGGAGTTGGGGAAAGGGGGGCACATGTCAGCGGTAGAGGAGCAGCTGCAATGCCGCTGATTCCACTGGATTCCCGCTGGACGTGCCGCAACTCCAACTTATCCAACAAATTTCGCATTAAGCTCAAAGCGGGCGGACTCCCGGGCACAAAAATAAATAAATAAAAAATAACGAAAAATCAAACAAACCGAGGAGGAGTTATGATGAATTTCCTAAAATCATAAATTCAGCTGTTTGACTGGCGCTCTTTAATCGGAACTTTACGAACTATATGTAAGTCGGAGCCCCTTCTTCCATTAATTCACTTATTTTTTAATGGTCACTCACCGGGGGAATGGGGGAAGGAAAAATGTCGCGTAGTTTAGTTGAAATTCTTGCGCTTGACATGTCTTAAGAGTATTCACACTGAGTGCCCGTACTCCTGCTCCTGGCAAAGATTTAATTACTCCATCAGTTCGTGATGAAATGTTAATTATTTAGAAATTCTTTGAGCACAAAGGAACCCGTAGAGAATGAGCTACAAAGTGCACGAAAGTTTTGCCAATGTGTTTAGCTTTGGCGATTATCTTGATTACGTCTGGAGGAGCACTTGGATTTCAATTACTTAGAGTTCAGACACATAAAGCCAAATGACATCAAACAATTGCCACCTAAAGTTGAGCAAATTGAAAGCGAGTGGAGATAATGGCAGGCAAAACAAAAGCCTCGGGACTTTATATGCACAGGCAAAAAAAAACATAGTTTTAAAATAGGAAAGAACAGGCTTTAACGTTAGAAAATATTTTAAAGTAAACACTGCATTTCCTTTTCCATTATTATTATTAAAGATTTATTGAGCACTCACCTCCAGAACTCCAGAGTACGAATCTCGGCCTGCATGCTGCGCTTGGGCGCCTGAAGGGTGCTGGACAGGCGATTGTTGACCCCATTGCTGCCTCCGGGCGAGTCCTTACGCATTGCCTCCAAACGCTCGAAGAGGGTCACGATGTGATAGTCGATGTTGTGCTCCAACGGCATGGTATGCAGACTCTCATCTGCCATCTTGGATGCGGGGGAGTTCCTCCTCGGTAGTTGCTAAGTTCACGACTTTGTTTACTTTCACTGATTCAGCCGATCAACTAAGCTGAGCTGACCTAAGCACGCGGAAGAAGCGAGGATGGCGGCGAGTCTGGGCTTCAGTTAGACACACATTTCGCACTCTCAGCAAATTGCATTCAATTTGTGTCAATTGACGAGTTTCTGAACCTTTAACCGATCCGATGCGATGCGATTCGATACGATACGATGCGAGCTGATTCGACCTGATGGCACAACCGTTGTCGAGCGCGAGTGGTGAACGAATGAAGTCAGGTTGCGTGCGGGCACAGGCCGAAGGAACACTTTCGAGTTGCAAGTCACCACCACAGGCGGCAGCAGCAGCGGCGGCCTGCCGACACCACCGACGCAGTGGTGGATAAACCAACCCTACACCGGCAAAAAACACTCCAGAACGCTGGACTCGAGCCACCCCAACTATAAGGAAAGAATTCTCTTAGTTACAAGATATAGATTTCTTTTTCTGTGATGTTCTATTAAAAATTTAATTTAATAAATTTAAATATTAAAAAATATATATATGAAATAAACTTCCAGAGACCAAAGTTTGTATACCATTTTTAATTATAACTAACTACGCCAAAAGTGCATTAAATTCAATTCGGAAAGCAGTCCTACGTTGGTAAGTATTAGGCTAATAAATCTGCATACTCAATTTAAATTTGTAAAAAGTTACAAATTTTGTAAATTTTTCAAAATTTTAAGGATGTAGTCCCTTACAAAATTATTAAAATTTGGAAAAAAGTAAATTCTTGCCGGACTCAAATTTTGATACTGATCAAGAATATATATGATTTATGGGGTCGAAATGACTCTTTCATAGCGTTTTAAGCTTCTGACTAGCATTGTAATACCCTGCATTGATATAATTTATTAAAAATAATATATACTAGAAAGAACATTTTATCAGACGATTGCACTTTCAACTGCTAGAAAATTGGATTTTAAATTTAATATTGATGCTTGGTACTATTTTATTTATATATTTATTTTTATTGTCAGTGCATGGGAACGAGGTGGAATCGAAGGGAGAGAGAGCCTGTCAACCTGTTGGTGTTGCTCCTGTTTCATCACTGTATGCGTGTGTCTGTGGTGAAGGTGGATTTCAGGACATCGAAGGCATACGTTTGTGAGTTAATTGCGCAGCACTGATCAATAACACAGATTCCAAACTCCCAGGACTTGAACTTTGCCCGAAATAATTATGATTATAATGTTGATGATGAGGATAAGGGGGAGCTCAAGCACCTGGTCCAGGACCACTTTCATTGAAAGTATTTCGTCTTTTCGACACATTAATGAAATGTAAAATAATCTGGGCTCGATGGGGACAAAACTTTGATTAGACGGGATGAGGATGCCGGTGTTGCGGTTACTTCGGTTACCTCAGACCATTAACTTGATGTCGGTCCCGAGACCAGCACACTTGACCAGGCTACACCCAAAGAAATTACCATAATGACACTATTAAGACCTTAATATGCGAGTAATTCCACAAATTGATATTTTAGCAAAATTATATCACAAACTGAAAAACTGAAAGTAAAACCTTGCGTTGTTTATAGTTTTAGTACACTTTGCATTGTGATTTAATTATTTAATAATAGTAATAACTAATATTTAAAAATATTTTACCGTATACATGTTGGTTGGTTTCATAAATCAGGTTTTGATCATAAGATATCTGTTCTCAAAGAACTCAATTCGAAAATGTATACTGATGAATACTGTTAGCTATCCTCATAAACAAGTCACTGAAAAGCTTTCTGTGAAAGAATTATACTGGATTTACCTACAATAATATCCTAGTTATTTGCTTAATCAAGCAAGAAATATGTTTTAAATTTATATACAAAAGAAAATATCACAGTTTGTAAGGAGCTCTTTTAATTTCCTAAAATGAACATAAACTTTATTTTCCTTGAGTGTAACTTATTGAATAAAATTGACAGTACTTACATTTATTTTTTGTGGTGCATCTCCGGGTCAGAAGCTTCAGAAAAAAAACCTCAGTCTTGGCTCACATTTTCCGCATCGCCGAAAACTATAATTATGAGCCCTAACCACTTGATACCTGTCAATTGTCAACCAGTCCCCGTGTGAGCGACTTTTCAAGCTCAATGAGCTGTGAAAGCTAAGAAATTATGTTATGGCGAAGGGGCAGGGTGAAATCAATCACGAAAACAAAGGAAGGGGTTAAGGTTGAGGTTTAAGCTCAAGAGGGGAAAGAGGCGCAGAAATTTCGACACTGCTCACTTCTTTTTTTCTTTCTTTTTGCCTTTACATTTTTGCAAACTCTCCCAAAGGGGCAGGAGGGGGCATACAAGGGGGCGTTGGAAGGACGTTGCCTTATATGGAACGACGGACAAGGAGAAGACAATAACGATGATGATGATAATGATGATGATGATGCGAAGGAGACGGACACGACGACAAAAGGCTGGCTCTGGCCTCTGAGCGTGGGAAATATTTTGCGCACTCTTTGTGCTTTTGTTTTTTCCTTATTTTTTTTGGCCCGTTTTCACGTCGAGGTCGCACGGGGTCGTTCCTTCGACCGGTCGAAGGTAATAATAAGATGTTTTGTTTCAATCACATCGTCGCTTGATCATCCCCAGCATCATCATCATCTTCATCATCATAATCATCATTGTCGCAGTTTCTTTTTCAAGCATCCAAAGCAACTCGAACTCTTCTTGGTTGTTGTTGGTGTGAGCTTTTGGTCAGTGTCAGGGTCGTAGGTAAAAGTTCTGCGGAGGAATCAGATTATTAGGGAACTGAGTTATTTATTTATTTTATTTCAAATTATTTTTTTTTTAATCTATGATATATACTATAATATTCTTTATTATTAATCTGCTATCTCCATGTAAAAAGTATAGTTTCCCAATTTCCAATAATTTAAAACCCCCTTTTCTTAAGCCCATGATACCTGCATTTATCGTGTCATAGGTGTAGAACAGGGTAAAGAAGAGTAACTAAAGAGTAGAATAACTAAACTTGCAGTTGTTGTTGCAAATCATGTTTACTCTTTTTTTCAGGAAGAGTTAAGGGGGAGGTCTACGCTCTTATCCTTTTTTTTTGGGCTCCTCTTCTTCTGGCAACTTTAAGGTAAGCTTAGTTATGCTGCGTAGTTTTACTTTCGTAATTGTTTTTTCCAATACACTGCTGAAAATAAACTTAAATTAAATGTGTGAAATAATTACTGACAAGCTATTGTACTAATTACTAATTAGAATTACATATTGTAAGCTTTGGGTATGAATTACTTGAGATTTAATTTGTATGATATTCTAGATTAAGTTTTCTCTTTCTTTTCAAGTGCTTCTTTTGAGATTCTCTTTATTGCAGGTCGTAAGTCTGCAGCAGTTGAAAATGGATCCGAAAATGGAGATGAAGATGGTGTCACGATGCCTCACCCTCCTGCTGGGGCATTAAAAAGGGAAAGGAGCCTGAGAAATGCCTCCCACTTTTTGGGCCACTTTTCGATGTACCTGGAGAGCGTGGCTGATATCATTATTAGAGATATGTGTGTACGTCGATCCTATATGAAGAGCTGATTTATGAGTTGACCAGCATTCAACTCCTTGGTCCGGAAAACAGAACCGTGACTTATGAGTGGATGAAGCGTGAATACCTGACCAAGTGAGCCGTCTCCCCACGTTCTCCCCTGGAACTCATTGGAACTTCGGCAGGTAACTTTGCCTCCCTCAGATGGATCGCCGATTTTGCTGGAACTTTTGGCAGAAAAAAAAAGAAACTTAACAAGGTCAACCTTTTTTGTATGGCTTCCCTGTTGTGTGTGGGAAAAAATCTGTGGTCAAGAAAAGAGGCGTTAAGTCCAGAAATTGGAGGCGGGGCAGCCCAAATAGAACAGATTTTAGGTAGAAGAATAAGCTACATATATCTAAAGAAAGATTAACAGAAAGGTAAAAACTGTTAAAAACCATCTTCAACAAGAAAAGAAATTAACTTGATTTAAAAACATATTATTTTTATAATATAAATATAAATAATGTAATAGTCAAAATGCACTATTTTATCTCAAATATACAAAAATGTGCTACAAACCATTCAATTTAAATAATGACCAAAATTAATATTCCAAAAAGGGTTTATTTTTCCCTTGTTTATTTCATTGTCATGCCAAAGGGTTTAGAGGAAATAAAGGCTTTAATTAATTCAATTTTTTATTCCGTTTTTTATATATTTTCCACATATTTTTTTCCAACTTCACAGTTGATGAAATCACATACTGATATGACTAGACACTTTTTGCATTTGCCCTCCATCAAACCCTTTGACCTGCGACAATGAAAAACACTAAAATCTAATTCGCATGATGCTGTGAACATCAGCATATGCAAATCGAGTAAATCCAGCAAAAAACTCGATTTCCATGTCGGTTCAGGAGCAGGAGAGATACAGAGTCAGAGTCCATATCTAAATCTGAATCGAAGGACTGCAGCCGGTGCCTGACACGTGCCCCACTTGCAACCCTTTTCCCAGAGTCTACTAATGATGCGGCATTATTTTGCATATGGACACGGAAAGGGTTAAGGTCGAAAACTGTCCCCTAATGAACTGAAACATCCGCGACATGAATGTTACAGTTGCGATACTCGTAATTTATGCATGTTACACAACCATTGAATCGGAGTACTCAGATCTTTGTGGGATTCCTGTCAAGCTTCGGCAATGATATGCCACAGCAATTAAACCAAAGGGTTAGATAGAACGGCTTTGGGATAGGAGTTTGTGGTGGTGGTGATAGTGGTGGTTGTCCAAGTCCTGCACTTGCATTTGGTTGAGGTTTCCTGGACATCCAACACAGGTGCAAAAGTTTCAGGGATTGTGGTTTTTTGGGCAAAGTGAAAGCCAGTGATTGGAACGAGAGTGCACTTTAAAAAATATTTTATAAAAAAGAAAATCAATAGTGGAAAAGCTGC